GGAGCACAAGTCCTGTGAGGAGCAGCTGAGGGAGCTGGGATTGTTTAGCTTGGAGAAGAGGAGACTCAGAGGAGACCTCCTCACTCTCTACAACTCCCTGACAGGAGGTTGTAGCCAAGTGGGTGTCAATCTCTTCTCCCAGGCAACCAGCAGTAGGACAAGAGGGCACCATCTTAAGCTGTGCCAGTGGAAGTTTAGGTTGGACATTAGGAAGAAAATTTTACAGAGAGAGTAATCAGACCTTGGAATGGGCTGCCCAGGGAGGTGGTGGAGTCACCGTCTCTAGAGGTGTTTAAGATGAGACTGGATGTGGCATCAGTGCCACCACCATGGCGGTGTTGGATCAAGAGTTGGACTTAATGATCTCTGAGGTCTTTTCCAACCCAGTTGATTCTATGATTCTATGGCCAGATTTGTTTCTGGACTCCAGAACGTAGTTAATTTTTTTTGTATTTTCATTCAGTAGAAATAATTTCAGAATAAGGCCATTTTATATACACAAAGTGACTGTATCTGTTCTGGATGAATACTTGTTTTGAATAGACTAAAATTGCATTTAACACCAAAAAAGAAAACCTTCAGGAGTGCATGCTGTTGTCACAAATGACACCATTGCAGGCATTCGCTACCTTAGGCATATAAAGTGGAAGCATCCATAAAGCAAAATCCCTGAGGGTTGGTTTGCTTGTGGTTTTGAACATTTCAGGGGAGGTTTATTATGTGTGATAGGTGTAGCTTCAACATAATGGCATTTGGCTTGTCAAGAGAATCTGCATGTTAAGCTCTCAAGTAGAGTTTTACCTGTGCCAAGATCTGTAGAAAATAAAGATTGTCATGACACAACTATTTTATAACTGGAGATTTATGTAAATACATCAAGGGATATTTGCCATTCAGGTCTGTGGAAGACCCAGATTCTGCCTGTGCTGAGCTGCAGTAAGTTCAGTCAAATGGGGAACTGATTACAGCGTTGGGTTACTCTGAGCTCTTGGGTCTTGGCAGCTCATCACCTTTAATGCTTGCCCAGAGGGGTCAATGCCCCAGAAAACCTGCTCTTAACTTTAGTTTTTTTGCTGTTGACATTGCTGAGATCAGGGAGAACTGTCAGTGTCATTTCTTACCTCCCCCTCAGGAGCCCCTGGAAAGGGACATGGAAAACCACAAGAACCTGTGGGCCATTCAGATATTTCTCATCATCTCTATTTATCTGTTTAAAAACATCAGTCCCCAGGTAGAGACGTCATCAGTGTTGCTCATCCTCATCAGGCAACACCTGAGGCAGAGTCTCCTCAGGGAGTGTGAAGTTAGATGCTCCCCACAGTGGTGGCTGCCTAGGGGCTAGGCCTCTCCCGGGCTCCCTTGGGCCCCTGGGGTCGTGCTGAGCACCTGGGTTTGGCTGTGAGCTCCAGAAAGGCTGTTCCTCCTGCTCAGGAGAACTTCCATTTGCCATACACCTTGTGATTTTTTTTTTTCCATGCACATTGAATGCTGCAGCCTGTTGTGTTTGCTGCAGAGAACAGGGAAGTTTTCACTGAGGTTCTGATGCCGAGAAGTTGCATTCCTAGGCGCAGTAGTATTTATTTTTCACAGCACTTTTTAGCAGATTTCCCTGGTCATAAAGATGCTGGCAATAATGACTTCTTCCTGCCTAAGGTGTGTGTGTTGAAGGCACCTTTTTTTAGCGACTCAATTGCTTTTAGATTTATAGGTTTACTTCATGCTTCATGGTAGTTGCTGACAGTGTATTCTTTTCCTCAGATAATGGTGTTTGGAGGACCCTGTGTGACTTTCATTCTGCTGGCTGCGTGGTTGGGACCATTGCCTTGGCTTGCTCTTTGTTTGCTTATGCTCAAGGAAACATTTTTCACGAAGAGGAAGGCAGGTAAACAGTGGGTTTTCTTTGCCCCTGCCCAAATCCAGCTCACCAGGCCATCTCCTCCTGGTGTCACCTTCCAAAACTTTATTTGCTGGGCTGTTGCAGTGACTGCTGTTGGTCCAGAGGAATCAGATCAAAGAGAAGGGACCATAATGCTCCAAACCAGTGATTCCTTGGACTCAGGGAGAGTGAACAGTCATTGCTTGCCTGATTGTGGCAGGTAGATTTATCTGGGGGCAGTTCTGGCTTTCAAAGTCCAGAACACAAGAACAGCTTTGCGCTCTCTTGCTGGAGCTGCAGGAATGGTAATTAACGTTACAAAAACTCTTGAGGTGATACCATATGCATGTTTATCTGGCATGGGCTGCTGAGTCCTCCAAACTGCCAGAGATTGAGGAGGAGGGAGGATTTCTCACCTGACATTTGGGTGTTGCCTAAAGTAGGTGCTTGTACTGTATTGAGGTGAAGCCCTGGCAGCTGTTCATGGTCTAGAAAACTGGGTTGCTGTTTGCACTGTGTTAATTAGAGAAATGTGCTGTGGAACTTAAGTCTAGCAGTGGAGCAAAAAGTGGAGGCAGGAATTTCTGCAGCTGTTTAGCCAGGTCATGTCTGTAGATTTGTGATGCAAAGTTACTCCTTGTAAATACCTTTATAATTATAATGCTAGTAAAATATGCTGAACTTCTCCAAAGGAGCAGCTGCTACTCCACTTGTTTTGGAGGTAACATTTGTATTCTCTGAACACAGACATCTGCTTGTATTATTTTCTGATCTATTTTTCATTTGGCTTTTCAGAGAGTTGTTTGGTCTGGTAATTATTACAATATGGATGAGTCTTTGTCGCAGTTCAGCAAAGTAAGTTTTATTTTCTCCTTTTTTTAAATCCATTCCTATGTTCACACTTAGTGACTAGGTCCTTGAAAACACATAGTTGATTTTGGCAGCTTGTTTTTCTGTTTCATGTCACCCTCTGAACCTTTCAGATGCCCAAGCAGTAGCAGCTGGTGCTACAGTCTGGAGGATCTCACACAGATAGAAGTCAGGGTGGGAGGAAATGTAAGGCTACATGAAACATTTTTTTCTGCTCCCCTGCCATAATGGGGACACTTTCTCTTTGTATAAGATGCTTTTTTTTATTCCAACTTGGTTTTGTAGCCTGAGTTGTCAGAAAATTATTTTCTGCTGGCACATGGTGCCTCTCCAGTAAAGGATTCTGCTGATGCATCCACAGTAGCCACATTAAAGTGGCTAAAGGCTCCCTGCTGTCTTTCCAGCTACAGGCAGATGTGACTGTTCCATAGCAGTTGTAGCAGTGGCCACAAAGGCCAAAGACATCCTGGCTTGTACCAGCCATAGTGTGGCAGCAGGACCAGGGCAGTGCCTGTCCCTGTGCTGGCACTGCTGAGGCACCTCCAATCCTGAGGGCAGTTCTGGGCCCCTCAGACAAGACATTGAGGGGCTGGAGTGTGTCCAGAGAAGGGAACAGAGCTGGGGAAGGGTCTGGAGCACAAAGAGGAGCTGAGGGAGCTGGGGGGGCTCAGCCTAGGGGAAGGGAGGCTCGGGGGGACTTTCTTGCTCTTTGCAACTCCCTGACAGGAGGGGGGAGCCGGGGGAGATTCGGACTCTGCTCCCAGGGAACAAGGGACAGGACAAGAGAAAATGACTTCAGGTTGCACCAGAGGAAGTTCAGGTTGCATACTCTTCTCTGGAAGAGTAGTCAGGCATTGGATGGGGCTGCCCAGGTGGTAGAGTCATCATTCCTGGAAGTGTTCAAAAAACGACTGGCACTTGACAATAGGGTTTAGTGGGCATGGTGGTATGTGGTACAAGGTTGGACTTGATGATCTTGGAGGTCTTTTTCAACCTTAACAATTCTGATTTGATGTAGCTCTGTTGCACTTGTTCCTTTATAGGAATCCTCTGGGAGGAGTTTGCTTGGCCGCTGCAGTCGTGGTCGCCCTCTTCCCCTTTGCTTCATGGCTGTACATTTATGTGAACAAAGAGCTGCGAGCGGCTTGGCCAGAGCACTGCAAAACAGTGATTTAACTGGGTGGGAGAAAGTCTAAACATTCTGATTGTACTTGCCTTTGCTTTTGGTGATTAATGAAAGATTAGTGTCAGTTTGATAGGATACAAGAATGCCTGGCTACTTCTAGCAGTACCATTTGAGTTGTGGTAAAAAGTTGAGGAACACTGTCAAATCTGAATGGGGAATTTTTCTGTGGAAACTGTTGTTCAACTGGCTGCTTCCTACATTTCCAAAGCACTGTTGATCTAATGTGTTCTAATGGTATATATCCTGGCATCCCTGGATCACTCTCTAACCACCTCGTACTTTGGGAAATCTACTGTTCTGTAACATAAGGGACAAGTAAAGCAAACACTGTTTCAATATATGACTATTTACAGCCATAGAACTTCCAAATACCTGCCTGGATAATCCATTTGAGACTAACTGTGAATTGAGCAGTCTGTATTTCCATTCCTGTGCTAAAATGATATATAGAATATATTTGAAAAATTATTTTTGCTATTAACTGAAAATCACTAGTTTTGCAGAATAATAAACACTATTTTTCTAAAGAAAACTCAACAAAAGCCTCCATATAGTTTATTTTTTGGGAGATGTGTACTTGAGCCTGCCACTAGCAGATGTGGGCACCATCACAACTCTGCTGGCACTGTCACAGCTCTGCTGCTCACTGGCTTTTTCCTGGAAAGCAGGACCCAAGCAGCAGCCCAGCGGCAGTAAGCATGTCCCGCTGCTCATCCTGGAGAAGGAAGCACAGGTGGATACACTGGACATATGAGCTGGGTGGGACAGAGCCAGCACAGGTCCAGGTGCAGCACAAGAACACCTTTAGACCCGTGTCAGGGCTCCTTCCCTCAGCACTGCTGCAGGAGGTCACAGTTGTGCACACACAGGTCCCTGCCAGTGTATCTGCACCATTCCCTGCTGTAGCACAGATGGTTTCCCTTCTCTTTAGGCTTAGCCTTTTCTGGGGATTACTTTAGTCTTTTAAAGCAATGTTGGAAAGCTGCATTAGGCTACAGGGTGGGTGTATTCTGCCAGACATGAGACATTACTGCCTTATGATGTTCACAGAAAATAAATACGTTGAAATGCGGCTGGGCAGGTACAACTCTGCATGCTTTAATGCTCACCGAGAGAATAACGGTGGGTGGTTTTTTGAAAATATTCATAATATGGTTTGCATCTTTTCACAGTAACAAATCCAGTCTGGATTAGGTGTTTCAAGTCAACATTCTGCATTCAACATTTCAATTACTGGCCTTCTCTATTTTCCACAAAGAAATCAGGTCTGTTTCCTTACAGAAAGGTAATTTCTAAAATCCTGTATCCTGAGCTAAAGCAATAGGGATCAGCCATGCACCTTTCTACAAGCAAACAGTAAGCTGAATCCCCTACGTTTTTATCCCGAGTCCTTCCTGAAGAGCAATCTGTATTTACTTGGCATTTCAGAATTGCATAACTCTGTCTGCAATTCTGCCCCTTCCCTTTAGTATCATTTTATCTTCGTAGACATAAATAGTCCCAAAAGCATTGCTTTCCGGGGGCGTTTCGATCACCCCCTCCAAGGTCAGGTGATGAACTCCATGGGAGTCCAGGCAATATCCCCCATCGTGCAGGTGCCCCGCGAGGACACAGACCACGCACCGGTGGGAGTGGATGACAGACAGGGCAGCTTCGTAATTCCAGGCCAGGCACACCCTGTCTGAAGCATCCGGGTGAATGGGCAGGTGACCTGCAGTTGAGAAGGAAAAAACCAGGAGAGTTAAACTGTAACAAAGTCTGTCTCATTGCTGTGAAGCTCAGCCAACCATGTGCAGAAAGCTCCCCCCAGTATGGACATGGTCTGTCCTGCTCCTTCACAGGTTACATCTGTATCTTAAGGGAGCTCCAAAGCTGCTACACGTTTTCCTCAACTCACATACACCAGCTGTTCCCCGTATATATCCCTGGGAATATATACCCCCCTCAAATATAGGAGTTGAAACTAGATGATCTTTAAGGGCCCTTCCAACCTAAACAATTCTGTGATTGTATGATATATCCCCCATATCCACCTACCCATAACTACAACTTTTTCTTGGTTTTCATCAGAGAACTTGAGGACTTCATCGAACCAGTTCAGCTGGGCTTGGCTAAATCCTCCATTAAATGCTACAAACTGAGGTTCTTTGAGCCCTACAATGAAGAAGAAGGTTAGGCACAGGTGCATACACCTCCCACAGCTCCTCTATTTGCCTTATGTAAATCTGCTTACAATAGATGGTTTATTCTTATAACTTGCGGGATTTTTTTTTTGCTTTCCTTGGATCAAAACTCCAGCGTCCTTGGACAAACGAGAAGTGTTTTGTTAGTGTTTTCAGGGGGTTTGGTCACACTGCATGCACAGCGTTTCCGCTCTTGGGTGTCTCCCCCGGCATGGGATGCAGTGGGCACAAGTCGGCGCTCTGCAACAGCCCCTTCACCAACAGCTACCCGTGTTCTGATACTGTGGGGCACAGAGCACAACACAGACCCTTCCCACGGGTAAGGGGGAGCATCTCCCGTGCCCGCCTAAGGCCGCACTGACCGCAGGGAGGAGGAGGAGGAGGTTGGCAGCCCTGGGGCACCCCCCCGAGCCCCGCTGCCAGCCCCGGGAGCTGCTCCGCCCGCGCTCCTGCCGTGCCGGGTGTACCTGCGGGGCTGTTGAGGTCCTCGTTGGTGTTTTTCTCCCGCAGCAGCCGCAGGGACTCCTCGTAGCGGGGGCTGTCGGGGTCCCTGCCCAGGACGCTCAGGTCGTAGGCGTCGAGCACGACGAGGCGGAGCCGCGCGGCCGGGCTGCAGTGATAGGCCTGGCACAGCCCGTCCGGGGGCCCGGCCGCGCCCCCCGCGGGGCGGCTGCACAGCCCGCTCTGCGCCAGCCGGGCCCGGCTGAAGTTGTAGAACTCGTGGTTGCCCCACGCGTGGTGCACCGGCACCGGCAGCCGCCCCAGGGCCTCCAGCACCTGCCGCAGGGCGCCCTCGGCCTCGCCGCGCCGGGCGTTCAGCCCGTCGATGCTGTCGCCCAGCTGCAGCACGAAGTCGATCGGCGGGCTCTCGGCGGCCCAGGCCCGCACCGCGTCCCGCAGCAGGCGCAGGCTGTGCCGGTAGTAGCGCCTCCGGCTGCCGCCGAAGTCGTGCCCATCGTCCGCGTCCGCGAACTGGATGTCGGCGATGACCCCGAAAGCGACGCGCGGCACCGCCTCCATGGCGGCCGCGGGCGGGGCGGAAGGGGCGGGGCGGAATGGCGGGGCTCATGGCGCTGTGGCGGCTCGGCGGGGCCGTGCGCCGGGGCCGAGTCGCGCTGGGGCCGCTGCCGGGCCCGGCCGGGCGGGTCCAGGCGGGGCTGCCCGCGCCCCGCAGCCGCCCGTTCTCGCAGCTGCCGCCGGGCAGCGGCCGCCGGGCGGGCGGGCAGAGGCGGGTGAGTGAGGGAGGGAGGGAGGGAGGGCCGTGGGCAGGGGGCGCGGGCCGGCCCTGCCCCTCCGCGCTCATTGAACTCCTGTCCCCGCAGCTCGTGTCGTGGCGGTCGCTGGCGGCCACCGCCGTGCTGGGCGGGGGGCTGCTGGTCGGCATGAAGGCGGTGAAGAGGCGCAAGGAGCAGAGTGAGTGCGAGCGATGGAGGAGCAGCGGCGGGGCCGCGTCTCGTGTTCAGATGATGTATTTTTTGTACTCAGGCGATGTATTTTTTACAGTCAGGTGTATTTTATCCGCTCAGGCATCGCTCGGTATCACAGCTTTGCAGAGGGTCACTCTGTGCCTGTGTGTACGGAAGTGCCGTGGAAAATTTTCAAAAATTAAAAGCAAAATTCAGCGTTTGAAAGTTCTGAGGTTAGAATAGTTGTGTTTGGCTGCATGCGCTGTGCCAGGCGATGCAGCTCAGACAGGGAGCTGGGTGTTGTGGGCACATTGGGTTCCCTCTGTGAGGCACATGAGCTTTGCCCTCTCCTACAGGAAATGCCCACACCTTTCCTTTTCATGGATTTACTGTTGGAAACGGAGATATTGCAGCTCTTAGGGTATGTTCAGCTTGCAAAGGATGCTGTTTTTTCCTATTTCCCACCAGGCCAAGTGGGAAATCCCTTTTCTCTCTTTATCCTCCCTTTCTTTTTAAACAAAAATGCAATCAGATAACAATAAAGAAAGATATTCTGTTTCAGAGGAATTTAGTGCTTATATTTGATTTTGTACAAAAGGAATGCTTTTTGGAAGCCATGGGCACATTGGGTTCCACGTGACAGGTGTTGGTGGATCTTGACCTGGCAATGCCCTGCCCATGACCCAGTGTGGTGCCTGACTTGGCTGCTTCCAAGGCTCACTGGGGAAGCAGCAGGGATTGTGACATGGATGTGTTTGATCTCCTCTTGTGTTTTGTAGAGCTAGAGAAGGAACGAAACCGAAGCATTGGGAAGCCACTGCTGGGAGGGCCCTTCTCGCTTGTGAGCCACGAGGGGCAGCCCAGAACCAGCAAGGACTACATGGGCCAGTGGGTGCTGATCTACTTTGGCTTCACTCACTGCCCTGACGTCTGTCCCGATGAACTGGAGAAAATGATTGCAGTGGTAGATGAAATTGGTATGAGAATTCAGGGAATTCAGTGGGTGTAGAGGTCCTGTTTATGGGAGGGTCAGGTTTGTTCTTATGAAATGTCACAAATGGTGATAACTGATGATCTTCTTTAAAAAATGCTGTTGGCTGCTATTCAGTAGTTGAATTAAATGCTAAATGATCCATAGATCAATCTGCCTGTCACTAGGGTCTAACATGACAGCACTGGTCTTTCCATAACAGGAGACTTGGGAATAAAACATGGTGGTGGCAGATCACAGGGAATGCACTGCATTATGTTTTTGCCAAGAAGTGACTGTGAGGTGTGTTAGGATTTTTTTCCTTCTATTTTATTCATCCTGAGAACAAATCTCTGTGAGGGTCTCTCCTGAAGCAGAATGGCTGTGGAATGAAGGGAGGGGGAAGGCCGTGTGTTATGAGTTTCTCAGCCTGCAGGCCCTGAAGAATTATGGGGCAGGGATAGTGGTAAACCTAGCAAGTGGGAAAACAGACAAAAGCGAAAGAAATACAGCCAAGGCTTTGGCTGGAACATGAGGGAAAGAGCCTGAGTTGTGTCTTCACATTTCCTCCTGTTCCCCCATCCCAGCATGCTTCCCTTGCTTGCCACTGTGCTTCCAAATGTGCATCACACCAGCACATCTTCTGCAGCACAACCAGTCTGTCATCCCTCCTGAGCAGGGCAGGGGCTCGGGAGCGGGAGGACTGGAAGCTCCCAGCACAGACACAGAGCATTGCGTCTCATAGCATTTGAATCATTCACAAATTATATAGATTAAGCTCCACAAAATGGCCTTTTTAGTTCCTTAGGGTGGGCTTGGCCTGATGTTACTTGGCTGTGAGTTTGTTTGAAGGGAGATGAAAAATGATTTCTGGTTTTGTAAAATAAACAATAATTGTTAATGCCACAGAACAAATTCCATCTTTGCCTAATCTGACCCCACTCTTCATCACCATCGATCCTGAGAGGGACAACCAAGAAGCCATTGCCAAATATGTTAAAGGTATTACTGCTTTCTTTCTCTGTGTCTCATACCATGTAATACATACCATGTAAAAAAGGAGCCTCTTGAAGGGATTCTTTTCACTAAAATGTGTGCGTCTTGTTTCTGTCTAGAATTTTCTCCAAAGCTGGTCGGGTTGACTGGTACCAGGGCACAGATTGACCAAGTGGCTAAAGCTTATCGTGTGTACTACAGCGAGGGCCCCAAGGATGAGGACAACGACTACATAGTAAGTAAGAGTAGGGCCTTTGCCTACTGAAAGATTGTGGATAAGAGCAGCATATAGATTTTAAAACCAGCTGTTGGATCTGTACTGAAGTCCGAGGTGACAGAGCCCTTGTTGCACTGACCTGTTAAGCTGTTTGTCTCAGTCAGAACCAAAGTGTCCTCTTACAAGCTCAGAACCTCACTGAAGCGTGTTCAAAACATGTCCCAGCCCAGGCCTGCAGACAGTAGCACAGGAACTAGTAAGGCTGGCAGTTAGTTCAGTGTAATGTGTTTGACTGGCTGCTTTCGTGTGTGCTCCAAAGAGAAAATGGAACTGGGAAATTAAGGTGTCTTAGTTTAACAAGATTACAACTTAGAAATTAAGAAACTTCAGGTGGAAGTGTGGAAAAGGAAAAGAACAGCTTTTTATTAACAAAATCTGAATAAACAACAAATGATGCAATCAAAAACTTTCAGAAGAAACAAAACAAAGTCCCAATTTTCTTGGGAGGGGGAGAAACCTGCAGCAACCCGGGGAAGGGGAAGTAGGGGGGAAACTGAAGGCAAAATGTCCTAGGAGCAGAAACAGATGGGTGGGGGGAAACGGGACCCTAGGAAAAAATTCCGACATCTCTTTTCAAACCTATGACATAAGGAAATAGGAAGTAGGAGAAATGAGAAGTAAAAGTGAGTAAGAACTCATTCTCTGCCAAACTGACACCAAGGAATGGAGTCTTCCTGGCAAGAGACTTGGATATCTCCCTGCAAATACTGTGGGCATCTTCTTCCTGTGACAAACAACCTGCAAGAGAGAGCGTGTTCATTAATGGTGAATTAAGTGGGAATAAAATACATAAGTAACAGTGTGAAGGAAGAAAATGAGGTTTAAGTGAGGCTGAACTGGGTAGTCAAACTTCCGTCTCTGGAACGGACAGGACTGGTTATAGGGCTCTGAGCTGCTGCCAAGACCTTCCTGTCTTGCCAAATTCTGAGCAAGCTGGAAGAGTAAAGCAAGTACAGGTGATAGGAGGAGTGAGGTTACATCTTACATGATCTGCCTTGTTCTTCATTACAAGAACTGAGGACATCAGAAGAAACTAAAAACAGGTTCAAAAGGAAAGGTAATGATTCTCATTGCAGTGGGCACATGAGGAGTGGAATCCCTTGGTACAGATGCAAATGGTGGAAGTCCGCAGGGAGACTTGTTCTTAGTCTTTGGAAAAAACAATCTTTTGAGGGTTATGACATGCACAGAAATCTTGTGTAGTTCAGGAAGTCTGTGAGATGACAGTGTTTGGAAACTGGGAGGTAATAGAGGAGGAAGGTAACATTTTTGGTGCTGATTTTATACTCTTTCTTTAAAGCAACTGTTGTTGGCCACTGTTTGGGGTGAGATGCTGAGGCAAATTGAATTTGGTCTAATTCAGTATTGTTGATTCTTAATCTGTCTTAAAACCACCTGACTCCCGCAAAAAAAATATCCAAAAAGATTGGGGGAGCAAAAAAAGTGGTGCATGGAAAGAAGGAGCAAGAGCAACACATGATCTCAGTGAAGGGAAGATGAAATCACTGGTGATGTCCACTGCTCTGCATCACTGAGGTGGGAGATCAATAGCTTGTTTTCACTTGAAATGGCAACTGGAAAGATACAGAAGCCTGTGACTAAGATACTGTATTTGAATGGAGAAACTGAAATGCCAACTTAAATCAATATGAAATCAATCTAAAGATGCTGCCTAATATCAGACTTTTAGAAGGGGGCTTGTGGGAATGCAACAACAGGTTATAGGAACAGGATTGGCAAAGGATGCTTGCTCAGGAGAGGGAAAGAACTCCATAGAACCTGACACTAAATAAGTGAACTGAAGTTGAGGAGAGCTGATGGAAAGAGGCCAGCAAAGCTGAATGAGTGCTGGTACTTAGCAAGTGAACTACATGTGGATTCTATGGAAGCACACCTGGATCCTGGCATGGCCATGAAGGGACAATATGGGGGTTCAGCCAAGAAGAATAACTCCATGGATGACAGCAGCTTGGAGGGAGGCTGGAGGGTGACACTGGGCATAGGGGAAGGGATTCAGGATCCTGGAGGGGACCACTGCTCTGTGTTAGGGCTGCGAGTCTGAGAGGAGGGAAGGGCAGCAAGGAAGAAAGGCCAGTGAACTGGAAGTAGGAGAGTAGCCTAGGAGCCCCAGACGTGGTGCCAGGGAGGAAGAGTATATCTACATCTCCCCAGGATTCTTCATAGGCTCTTGGGTTTTGGCTCTGCATGCTCAGGGCAGGGGACACAGGACTCAGGAACAGAGTGCAAACAGGATAGTGGCAACAGCAGGCCTGGGAGGGAGAGCTGGAGGCTGGTCTTGTGCCTACCTGAGACAGATCCAGGTAATTTATACTCTGTCAGTTCTTCCAGTAAGGTTTTTTCCTCCTTATGTCTTGCCTGCACCTGTGTTCCCAGCTGATGATGGAGTCTG